TCGAAATTATTATAAATAAGTTTTTTTTTTTATTAAAGTCATGGCAGAAATATTTTTTTTATATTTATTAACCCCCACCATAACTAATTTTATGAAAAAGTTAGAAATTCGATCGAGTCTAGGTTAATGATTACAATAGTTAAAAGCACAAGGCTTTGAGGAATGCAAATCATGTTTTTTAATTTGACACCTCCCACCTGAAAATCAGCTCTGAATTGTAACATACAAAACTCAATAAATCAAATATATTAGTTAATTTCAAATGCTTTTATTTGCTTTTTGTTGTTTTATGAATATGGACAATATTTTCTGAAAGCAAAAAAATTTTTCCATGAAAAATGAATTTTTAATACAATTATTTGTTATTTTTTTAATTATAATAGATTTTTACATTTAAGTTGTTAAAATATTATAAAATTAGTTAAAAGCCGCACCGGGTTTCCTAAGTCTCCTTATGAGAGAGATCTTTTTTAGCGCGTTGTAAATTGTATCGTTTTGACTAATCGTAAGATCCACAGTAATTAAGAAATGTAATTTTGTGTTCATAAAAATCGTTAAAATGGCTGTAATTAAAAAGTAAGGAAGGTCACAAGCAATAAAACGTCACGTGGCTTGAGTGTAAGCGTTCTCCGCTGAACGTCGATTACATTATTGCAAATTCTTCGTGCGAAACATATGCTGGGCATTTTGAATTAGCGTTTTTTACTCATTAAAAAAATTTAAACATCATCTTAAGCCATTTACACCAACATTACTACATTTTTAAAAGTACCATTTATTTCATTTACATATTTCATTGCAATTTCAATTTTTTGAAGTTGTTTTACATTTTTCAGTGAGTCGTCTTTATTTCAATTTTATGTGAATTTCCTTTCTATTTCGGCTGGCTGGCCTTTGACCAAGCAATGTCAAAGTCAATTTTGGCTTAACTTCAACACTGTTTTCCTTATCGCTGATTTAATAAAAATAAACAAAAAATAAAAATCCTGGTTTCCAGTGTTCAGGAATAGCAATTTTAACTATTTTTTCACATTTTTTCCCTAGAAAAAATTTTTTATAATCATTTACACCAACCAATTTCACTTAGAAATGAAAGAGCATTCTTTGCTTTCAGGAAATACCTAGTTTCATGGGGTGCAGATCAAAAGTTTCCTTGATATTTTGTTCAGATGATGACAAAAGTCATTTTTCAATTTTTTTTTCAGTTCAAATTGGCTGTAAGTGTAACAAAATAACTTGATATGTTTGTGATGATTTTTACTTGGGATAGAAATGTTTTATCATAGCAGATCCGTATTGACTTTAGGGGGGGCTATAGTTGCCCTCGAAAAGCTGTACAGCACTTGTATTTTAATTTATTTATAGTATTTATAATTTCTACAGATAGTATCAACAAACTTATGGTGTAAGCTACAGTAATAAAAAAAAAACAAAATAAAAAATTGGAATGCTGAAAGTTTTTTTTTTTTTACTTTAATAATTACGAGGTACTACATAAGCTAGTTCATGTAAAAAAAACGTTACGTCAATTATGTCCTTCCGTATGATAACTCAAATCTCACGTTAGCTGTCGATATGTGATGACCGCAATCATTTATCACTTGTCAATAGCAAACGATGTCAAGATCGCCTCCTTTTTATTTTAAACATTTTTCTTCGAAGAAAGCAAGCAAAAGTTTTTTTTGCAAAATATATTAAATAATCCTTAAATTTGCTAATTTTCGTCAAATAAATTTTTAAAAACGTATAATTGATTTTTGGAAGAATTTTAAACTAGGATTTTAACTTAATTTACGAAATTTTAAAAAAATGGCTGATATCGAGTTTTTTTTTTAGTAATTTCGCTGACCCCCCCCAAAAAAAAAACAAGATTTTTAACTAAAATTTTGGCCATGCTAAGAATGAGTAAAAAATTTAAAAAAAATAATCAAAAAATACTTTGGTATTTCTTCTTGAAGCAGATAAATTTTTTTTTATCAAATTTAAGGCCGTTCTTGTCATGCTCTTTTTATTGATTTTCATGGAGGTACCCGAATATAAAAAAGAAAAAAAAAATTAAAAAATTGAAGTATGTCTCACTGAAAAGCAATAAATTAATTAGAAAAAAAAATGAAGTTAAAATATTTAGCGAAATAGGATGTAAAAAAGAAAATTAAAAATTTTGAAAATGCAACGATCATCGTCTCAGTCAGAGAATTTGTGCTAGCCAGAATGAAAGCAAATAATTTCTTAGGGCCTTTCACTTAAAACACGTGACCTATTATTTTCTGAACCGTGCATCCATAGTTTTGGAGAAAACGTTTTTAATGTATTTTTTTGCATATTAAAAAATATTTTAAAAATACTATCGTGTCGCAGATAAGCTCTTAAATTTATGATCTGTAAAAATAGGCATTTTTAATAACAGTATTTGCAAAAATATACAGATTGAAACTTAATTTTAAAATATTTAACAAATTTATCATATTTTGTATTTAAAATTGGAAAAAAGAAAACAGTTCTTGTAAAAATTGATTTTCATCGGAAAAAAATTTTGGCTTCAGACAATAGTGTCCTTAATACATATTATTCATAAAATCCATTAAAAGATTTAATTAAATAAAGTTTTAGTTTTATTGGGTTTTGTATTTTACAATTCAGAGCTGAATTTTGAGTAATATCGGGTCGAAATTTAGTAAAAAAATTGAGGAATTATATTCATCAAAGTCTTGTTTTCTTTTAACTAATATAATCACAAGGGGGGGGGGGTAACATGTATAAAAAAAAAAAAAAAGTTTACCATGACTTTTTAAAAACAAACATTTCTAAAAATTTCATTTAATTGTGAAGTAAGTTTTGAAAGATACACTAAAATCCGACAATTATTTGATTTTTGCAAGAGTTTCCAAATTAATGTTTTTCATCTGAAAAAAGGCGCTAAAAAAAAAAAAAAAAAACAACAAAAAACACACAAATGATAAATATTACGATACCGCTGACGTAAAAAACAATTTTTTAACCAAAATTTTGAATATGCTTGAAAGTATTAAAATTTTTTAAAAATAAAATACTTTGGTCTTTCCTCTTAATAAACATTTTTATTTTTTATTTTTATAAAACTTTGTTTTATTAAGTTTGGGGCGTTTTTCATTACGCTATGGATGCTGTTTTTTCGGCGATTTGTGGACAAACATTTATTAAGAATAAAAACTATCTCATATATATATGCGAGTTTGTGACCCTGGGTTTGACGATCGCTAAAGCGTGAAACCCAGGGTCACAAACTCACATCTATCCAACCAAATATGTTCTCTATCTCTGATATTGAGCGCTTTCTAATAAGTACCGCGCATATAATATATAAATAATTTACATATATATTTATACACTTTTCACATTCGGATTATAACACGGATTTCAAGATTGGATAAATCGTAAATTTCATTTCATTGTTATTTTTTTTCTATCATTGACAGGACTAGATAAAGTACACAACTACAAAGCTGAAGTTAATTGCCCCCACCCTCCCGAATAATAAAATGAACAGATATACGATGTCTGAGGATACAGTTACTACTTAGTAAACATGCTGTTGGCTTTCAGTCTATGCGAAATTTTCGCCTTCCTAAACTTAAAAAAGAAATCTCTGAAAAAATGTTTACAACACAATCTGTTTTTGTATTTATCGAAAGAAAGAAAAAAAAAACCTAATAGTTACAAAGCTAAATATCAATCTTCCAAATGCGAACACCTGTTTTGATAAATCAAAATGTTTTTCATTTGAGTTTGAAAAACTGATTGAAAATAGGCAACAATTTCTTATGTAAGCCATCATAGAAGTCTGCTTGTTACTCTTATGTCGTGGCAAGACGTTAAACGTTCTTCATAACACTGATCAGTGATATTATACAAAAATCATGAAATTATACATGGAAATATTTTATTCCGCAGTCGTCTCGTAAAAGTAGTACTTAATTAAAATTTATTAAAAAGAACAACAAACAAAAACAAAAAACAAACAAACAAACAAACAGAAACAAAAAACAAACAAAAAACAAACAAAAAAAAAAACAAAAAAGGAAAAGAAAAAACCAACAACAAAAAAAAAAACTAAATTCAAGATTGCTTCCTTTTAGTTTTACTAAAATGGGCATCAGCTGACTTTGAAGCAATTTAATTTGGCAGATTGATTGACAACCAATTTTTTGATAAATATTAAACAAACCGCAAAGTACGCAATTTTTGATTTAATCATTTTTTTTTCTTGTAAACATTGGTTTTTCGAAGAGCAATTCGGATGAAACAAATAAAACTATGGATGGTTTGATAAACAAATATAATGTTTTTTTTTACTTAATATGAGGCGTGTCAATTACTAACCAATAAACCATCCACGTTAGAGAATGGACCAATCAAAAAGTATCTTATAGTGCAACAACATTTGTAAACTTAAAATCCGGTCATCTGCGTAACTATATAAACTTACGGCACTAATTATATTTAAGAATTGTCGACAAGAAAACATCGACGGCTACACTCTCGTGTACACCCTTGAACAGGCAAAGCGAAGAAAATCTTAAATATTTAAGTTTGATTCTGTTATCCACGATCTCAGCTTAAAAATCAACAATGGCAGCAACGCACGTGGATCATCAACAGAATAAACAAGCCGTAATTCCATCAGTGCCTCTATTAGATCCGTCAGACTATCGCCCTGAATATAAACAGAGATCAGAATTTAGAAACTACACCAACAAAGACATTACCAACAGAGTTTACCAGACGTACAAAAAAATGCACACTTTCCAAACAGTGGGCTATGTTCGACAGAGTCTAGCGCGCTGGACCCGTTTCAATCGAACGGAGATGACTATTATGGAAGCTATAAAAATGCTCGACCATCTTGTGGATGAATCTGACCCTGATCTTGACTGTCCAAATTCGTTCCACGCGTTCCAGACAGCTGAGGGAATACGACAGCAATATCCCGACGAGAAATGGTTTCAGGTAACTGGACTTATTCACGATTTAGGAAAGGTATTGGCTGTCTGGAACGAACCACAATGGGCCGTCGTTGGTGACACGTTCCCCGTTGGATGTAGACCAGCTGATTCAGTAGTCTTCGGCTTGAAGAGTTTTGAAAATAATCCCGATCTAAAGGACCCGGTTATGACTACAAAACTAGGCATTTATTCACAAAACTCCGGCTTAGAAAATGTTTTAATGTCGTGGGGCCACGACGAATATTTGTATCAAGTACTGCGCAACCACAACGAATGTCATTTACCAGAAGAAGCTTTATATGTGATCAGATATCACTCTTTCTATCCTTGGCACACGGGCGGGGATTACTATTATCTCTGCAACAACAAGGACCTAGAAATGCTGAAATGGGTACAGAGATTTAGCAAATTCGATTTGTATACAAAGTCTCCAAATGTGCCTGATGTTGAGGAGTTGCGACCCTACTACAAGAAATTGATAGATGAATATTTACCCGGAAAGCTGAAGTGGTGAAGCTCTCTTCAAAGAAAGCTAAATGATTTCGCATAAAAACGGTGAAGAAAAAATATAAAAACGTTCGCTTCAGAACTAAAAACTGAAATGACTGGTGAGAGAGAGAGAGAGAAAAAAAAAGTTATTTTATTTTTTACAATATATTTTAATTTTCATTTTTCTCAATTTTTTATATTTGTACCGGTGTTTTCGAATATTTAACTGATTTTGTTTGCAATTATTAATTTGTGGGTGTGCGGAACGGGTTACACTACAGAAAATTTGAATAGGACATACGTTACCAAATCTCGATATTCATTTTTTTTTTTTTGTTTTAATTTTAAAACTAAAGTAAAACTTTTCACTTTCAATCAACATTATAAAGACAAGCACAACATTATCCGAAAACATACGATGGCTATTTTAATGTGTGTTAAAAAGAAAAAAAAAAGAAAAAAGTATTTATTGGGTTGGGAAAATACTTGATAAACACGGATGTAATAAAAAAAGTGTTTGAATTGAATTTTCACTTATTATTGGCATATATCCAACTTTTGTTATTTTCTCCTTGAAATGTTTAAACTGCAGGTTTTAAATTAAATTCCTTGATTGTTTAATTTTCAAAAATGAGTTTCCACGTACACAAATCTATCAACGTGTAGAGAGAAATTCTAGTAATTGTTATCTTCAAAACTTTCGTTTGTTGTTAGTAAACAACTTTTTAGTTGGTATTATCTAATTTCAATGGCCTATTTTAGGGTTTGTTGTTTTGTTTGGCAAAGTTGTTTACGAAAAAAGGTCTTCCAATCACCATTTCTTGCAACTCCCACGCGACTAGATGGTTACACAACTTGCATGCATGTTGTTACGTTTACTTATGTCACATGATATGGACTGACATTTCATTTATTTCAAAGTAGTGCAAACAACTGTGTTAACCATCACCCATCTAGTTTTTTTTTTTTTGTATAATGGGGTGGAAAGTAAGCAATAGTAACTAATTCTACTACTACTAAACAGAATTTCTTACAAATGTGGCCGCAATTACGTTTTTTTTTTTTTTTTAAAGTAATATTCAACTAGCCCACTTTGATTTCAGGTATTGCATCAAAGTTAGAATTCTGTTGTTTTTTTTTTGTTTGTTTTTTTTACTGCTAAGAAGTAATTACTGGAGATAAAGAATTAAATCTTTTTAGATTTTACTTCCATTTCTATCCATGAACTGAAATAAAGTTTTTATAGGACGAGGAGTAAAAATTGAAATAAATGTCATTTTACATTCTAAAAAAAAATTTTTTTTTAAATGGTGTTTTGTTTTTCAAAGAATATAGCCATCCTTTCTCCGAGAAATTAAAATTAACTTTTTTACATTTTTATGGATGAGCCCAATTTACAAAGTAAAACAAAATGTTGAACTTGACCCTTTTTTGTGTGCCCATTTTTATGCAAATAGCTGATCATAAGATAAACATAATTACGTACGTTATGAACAGTTCATGATAAAATTCATAATTCTAAAGTACAGGATCCTTAAAAATACTAAAAAAAAAAAAAAAAAAAAAATAAATAAAATAAAAAATAAATAAAAATAAACGACAAGGAACTCAATTCGTACGGTTACTAGGACAAGAAAAAGATGTGCTTTCTTTTCAGCGAACTTTAAAATTCCACTTAACGAAAGACAGGCAACAAAATAAATAAATAAAAAACAAGGTCCAGTTTTACGTTCAATTTATGGTAAAATATTCAGACAAGTCATTTAACTATTTTCTCTAACAAAATAAAATCTAACGAATAAAAAGCAGATTCAGCTAAAAAAATGTACAGGGCGGTCCGATAGTCTTGTCACGCTTAGCACTCTTTCAAACTGTAGGAACTTGTGCCAGCAATCTGAAATAGAAAATATTATGTATAGGGTGACAAGACTTTCGGATCGCCTTGTACATAAAATATTCCCATACAAAATCCAAAACTTCAATTTGACAAACATTTTCATTAAATTATTTTTAAATTGTTCAGTTTTTTTGCGCTGAAAATTTAAACTTAATTTCTAACGTCTATTTTCGAAAAACACATTGATAGCTTAGTTAAAAAGTAAAAACTAATTTTGAATATATACTCGCTACACTATACTTACAGGTAATTTTTCTATGCTTATTCCAGATTAAACATGACAAAAAACACCATAGTATGTAATTGTAAAATATGTCCATCCCGCTAAATGTCAGCAACATATTCGCATTTAGCGGCTCGCCATTTGTATCGTAGTTTTTTTTTTTTTTTTTTCTGTTTAACTTATTCGGAGAAAAGATGTCAAATAACTTATTGAAACATTTCTACAGCTAAAGCATTAATGTTGGTCTTCTCGTGTGGAAAAGTGTAAGCTCAGCATAAGGATTACTTCGGGAGCATCACCCCCACCCCTATTAACGATGATGATTATTATTATCCATCAACTTAATTTTTTAGTCACTAGTGCTTTTTGAAATAGACGAGGAACGAACGATAAATTTATATTTTGTGCATAAAGGCAGGAATTAAATTTAAAAAAAGTACAAAAAAGAATTTAATAAAATCAACACTAATCACCCCTCCATATAATAGTAAAAAGAAAAATCTTCATACCCATGAATTATAAAGGGTTCAGTGTTAAAATAATTTATTTGAATTATTTAATGTACAGGGTGTTTCAAAAGTCAAGCGACAATTGGCAGAAAATGCACACTTGTGAAATAGCAATCAGGGAAAATTTGCACGACATCATCTATAATTCAACCAATAAAATTTCTTAATATATTGTCACATACAGAAACACGATTCCATTTAGTAATTAAATATAACATTTACAAAGTTATCAATGGTAATGCGACTTTTGGAACGCCCTGTATATTTCTAAAATTTAATTTCAACAGATTGAAAGGTGGGCAAATCATTGACAAGAAATCCCCTGCTTGACTGCCAAATCTTTGCTTGCCTGTGCTCTTTGCATAAATAAATGAGATGAGATATAAAATGCACTTAAAAAAAAAAAAATTAAAAAATAAATAAATAGATGTAACCAAGAAAAAACAAAGTAGACCAACAGAATAGGAAATTCTTAACAGTGCACAAGTTTACAATCCAGATGACAAACTGAGAAAAAAAGGAGGCAGACTGTGACCAGTCAAAATGGGATTAAAAGGTATGACAGTGTTATAAAGGAGGGGGGGGAGTAAGTAAATAAAAAAAAAATTAAAAAATAATAAATCCAACTCCATGGCAGAATTTTGTTTTGTTTATTTTTTCTTTTGTGGCTTAACCATTTGTAGGTTATTTAAAGCCAAAACTAAGAATATTTTTTTCTTTTAGCAAGTGAATATTGCAGTAACAATTTTTTGAAAAATGATTTTTCCAGATACATGTCCTATTTAATCCATAGCTGGGGGGAATATAATTATACCTTTCTCATGGTTATTTGTGAATTAGTAAAAGTAACTCATTTGACTAGTATTTGAACTGATTTCTCATTCTGAGCTATCATCCATTACACCACCTGCACATCTTTAAAAGACAGGAGAAATGTCATGGACATGGCTATACCGATGACACCTGAAGATAGAAATAAAATCATGCATTACTGCACCTCAGAACAATCACTAAAGTAAACTACATCAGAGCGAAGATTGACAAAGCCCAGATAAATGTACAGAGTACGGCATAAATACCGTTAAAAGAAAAAACTTATAATGCCTGAAAAGTATTAATCTGCTAAATAACCCTTAGAAAATCACATATTGAAATCTTTTGGGAAAGATATAGATGGTGGCACACAGTTTCCATGGGAATTTTATCTCATATTTTACATTCAGAACTTCAATATTGTGATGCCAAGTAGAACACTCATTCTCAGTAACTTCCAAAAAACAATAGTCAAGTGGGTTGGCATCTGGTAATGAGGGAGGCCACTTGTCCTTGGTGGTGAAACCAAGACAATTGCCTTGATAGCCAATTTTATCATTGACCTTCTTGGATTACACACATATATTTAACGAGTTTTGGTGTCTCTGGTCTATCTGATGGAGGAAGTTTTGTATTTATCGATTGTCCCTTTTTGTAAGCAATCTGTTGATTCCAAGTTGTTTGCCAGTTTTAAAAATCTCAGGTGGAGTTGGTCCATTTTTCCTGTGGCTTAATTATATACTTTCTTTTAATTTCTATAGACACTTGTCAGTAATATACAGAAACACTTTGAACAAACAAATAGTATATATTGTTTGGCAATCAAACCATAAACAACAATGTAATGACCAAAATGTTAGAAGTAAAAATTCATTTGAAATTTTGTAACGGCATTTATGCTGCACCCTGTAAAAGCTGCTGGGGTGAAAATATGACATAGTAAACCATATACAGGTAACTATAAAAAGTAAAGTAGGAAATCCAACATAACAGAGTAGGAACAAACAAATCATTTGCACAATTCTCAGTGTAAGTTCAACAGCCATCTAGAGAAATAGTACAAACCAGAGACTGAGAAAATAAAAATATTGTAATTTTAGCATCCAGAGTGACCTCCCAAAATAAACCAGACCAGATTTGATAGTCATAAAATAAAGTACCAGTTAGATATTGGAGATGTCATATCAGTAGAGAATAGAGCAAATTTTAAGACTGAGAAATTGGAAAAATACAATGACTTGAGAAAAGTGTGAAATGTGAAGGCCAGAATTGTGCATCTAAAAAGTAGGTGCTCTGGAAACTATAGCCAAAAGGCTAGAATTAAGATCAGATTAGTTAGACATTCAAAGGTTGTGAATATGCCAGTGCTGGAGTTTGGCAAGGATGCAGTAGATATGAGACATGCTGTCAATCAGTCCTTTCTTTCAGTAATGACCTGCAGACATTTTACATGAATATGCAAATGCATGAATAAATAATAAAGAAATTTAATGTTTTTCAGATGAGAACTCGAAATTAAGAAAAAAAATATCTTTAGCTTATGGCTTTCTTGTATTTAAGCAATTGCAAAGATCATTTTTGTTGACTTACAGAGACCAAGAAAAAAAAAATCCTTTAAAAATTTTTTTTTTTTTTTTTAAACTGTTATACACAAAACTAACCTGCATTTTCCCCACTTGAAATTTATCAGTTTTTACTTTTTTCTTTAAATGACATTTCTCAAGATGTAAGGAATCATGTCAGATGCATTTTCATTGTGTAAATTGCAATTAGATAGTGTAGTGTTTTCATGTTGCCTTCTCCAGTTTTAAATTTAGAGTAGTTCTTCCTGACTGGCTACCAACTAGAGAGTCCAGTCTATTCTGCTAATTTTACTTATCCTTTTCAATTTTTGAGATTGACATTTAAGATTTGAGCTGTTCAAAGCCAAAATATCAAAGCACCTTAAAGAAAACGTTTTTGGCAAAGTTTAACATAGGTACCTGCAAAAAAGAAAAAACAAAGTTTGTCAAAAGGACAGTGTTTTTCTAGACACCACTATTAACATAGACTGCCTTGACAATTTGTTTTAAAAAGCTATTTCTAGAATTTTAATAAAATCCCAAGATGGATTTAAAGTATTAAACAGTATTCTTGCAAATAAACAGTGTAATAAATAGCATTTAACATTTTTGTTAATTCTCAAGGGAAAAAGAAAGTATAAATCCAGATGCTTGCAAATTATTTTAGTGAACTAGCAAATGAAAAATGGCTGTAAAATGTAGCTTTTTTTCAAAATTTATTAGTTACTCAGTTATATTTACTTATTTTTTTGTTGATATGTATGTTAAACTTTGTCATTTTAAAAAAAGAAATCTTTCAATCAAACTGAATAATGGACAGATTTATTGTCTATGAAATTGATACAGACAATGCAAAATTTAATTTCATAAATTCCTGTATTTCTTTTCCATTTCTGAGATGGATGGAAATCAAATCTTTAGTTGGATGAAACATTGTGTATAAAATATTGTAATACTGTTAACTCAAAAATGCTACAATTATTTTATCAGCACAATGTATAGTATTTGAATTACATGACTCATTACAATAGAGAAACACTTACATTTCACAGAAATTGACTAAACTTATTAAGCCAAGTATTTTTTTTTTGCATTGCTATAATTTAAAAGCCAAAATTATAAGAGAATGAACATTCTTGGAAATTACTAAAAAATGAATAAGACTAATACAAACTAGGAATTAGTTGAAGACTCAACACAGTTGAAGGTAAAAAAAAAACAAAACAAAAAAAAATAAAAAGCTTCACATTCTGAGACTACTGAGTAATCAAAATTGTGGTTTATAGTAGTTTTTTTTTTTTTTTTTTAAGAAAAATGAGTAAAATAATAGGTAGCAGCTTTGGATATTCAGTTAAAATTGCTGACATGGGCCTTAATCAAAAATATGAGAAAAGACGTTTACTATATAGTTGTACAAGTTGTTAATGAAAATTGGAGATTTTTTTTTCTCTCTCACATATATTAATACTTAAACACCAACATTAATACATTACAGCTGTCAGATATTAAAATCTTTATTAAAATAACTTGAACATTAAAGAATGCAGACAATATGAGTAAAATAAAGCAGACAATTTGTTCAATTCTTTTATCAAAGTGTAGATTTGTTTATATTTTAAGCAACCTGGACTTAAACCAACTTATTTTGTTGGGTAGAGAAACTAAGATACAGAATATGATAATTCTGTTGTAATGGACAAAGATAAACTTGCAAATATAGTTCTTTGTAAAGCTAAGTTAACTTGTTCAGATAACATTGAGACTTTGGTTAAAAAAAAATAAAAAATGTGTGTATATTTACAATGAGTAGTTCCCAATTTTGAATCACTTGAGATTTTGTTAAATGAAAAAGGAATAATACTGAGAAGAAAATAGAGATCATACAATTTCTAGGATAAATAAATTTAGACTTGTGACATTTGTAGTACAGATTTTGTAGAGCATTACAGGCAGAAACTGTCAAGACAATTTAAAGCAATATTTTTTTTTTTTAAAGTCACATCTTTCAGCAAAATCTAGTGACAACCACAGCAACAGAGGAAAAGAAAAATATTTAAGGAACATTTATACAACATTAATTAGTGTGATGCCATAAAGGGGGAGGGGGGTAAAGTAAAAAAAAAAAAAAAGTCATAGTATATGCTGTCAAACAGTATTTTATTATAAAATATACTAGATTATTAAATTTCAAAAATAAAGATTTGCTTATTAATATAAAAGTTGATCTTTGTTACTTTTCGTCCTCAAAATTATATATTCATTCATAAAGAAAAGGTGTTCAAAAATCCAATACATTCGAGATAAAGCAGTTGAAGAAGAAACCTAATTCCTGGCAGCAGATCTGGTTAACAAAGCATTTGAAATAGAATGATACTATATAGTTTACAAAATATGAGCAACCAACAAGCAAACCATAACATTGATATTATTGCAACTATCTCAGAACTATGATGTAAAATTAATTTTATTAAAGAAAGAAAACTATTAATTTTATAAATACAAAAATGTACAGCTTAAAGATTAAAAAAAAATCATTTGTTTAAAAGTTGAAGTTTGGGAAGAGGGGGTAAGTAAAACTGATCCACTACAAAGGATACATACTGTTATTGAATAATGATTTAAGAATAAATAAAAGATTTGTTCATACTCATTGATTGAAAAGTTTAGAAAATCTTTTGAGGACTTAATATTGGATTTAAATATATTTTTTCTTCTGAAAATTGTATATAAACTTGGCTAATATATAAATTTACAAAGTAATTTAGTGTGATGGAATACTATTTAAAAATAGGGGAGCTAAGTCATTTTACAATTACTATTGTTAAAAACATCTACCATTGAAGGTAAATAAGCTACTTCTTAATTAGTTTCTTCTCTAAAGATATTGTAATGCATTACTACCTTTAATAATATATAACATTAAATGCCAAATAAGAATTCCTAACCTACAAATACATTGTAGCATTATGGTTCAGAACCATGTGAATTTAAATATCTTTAATAGCTGACAATAGGTAAGTCAATTAAAAGTGTTTCATCAGAGTGCAATGGCTTGATAATGAGCAGATTGTGTGTATACATTTTTTTTTTTAAATTTCTTTATACATCCCATCCAATAAACTATTTGAGAATTAAACCAGACTAAACAAAAGTTTGAAAGATTAACTAAAGAAAAATACAGTAATATTAATTTCTATAAAAAAAGAAGAGGCTTAACTAGCTAGCATTTTTAAACAGATATTTGACTTATATGTATCTTGCTGAGATTAGAGAGAAAAAAAAAAAGTAATTGTTAATTATGTCTGATATTCTTAGGAACCTTGTCTTGGGGTCACAATCCAACTGAATAAAACTGCTTCTTTTTAACAATGAGAGATCACAGAAATGTTTGTGTTAGAATTTAAAAATTTAACTTATCATAAAAAAAAAGGGGGGGGGAGTATGCCTTTTTTATACTCTTAAAAAATTAAAAAAATTGATGATTTTCCAAATAAGATGTACTTGCCCTTCAAATTTGAATTAAAATAGACCTACACTGTGAAGGTCAAGCTTGGAATGTTTCACCCTACTTTAATAATCTGCGCAACTTCAGAATGAATATATATTTCAAACATGTTAAATTTAGGGTGTATCTTCTGTCACAAGCTCCAGTATAAATTGGAGTAGTTAAGTTTGAAGAATGAAGATGAATAATAAAAAAAATAGTATATCATTATTCATTTGACCCTGCACCAAACTTAAATTCCATAACTACATGACGTCACTGCATAAGAATATCTTATAAGTTGCAATCTGATCTTTCTGAACAGCAATATAGATATAAAATGATTTCATAATACTTATAGTCAATGAAACTAAAAAGTATCTTTAAACATCTACTTTTTATAAGGTTGAAAACAAATGCATATTTTGTCAGATGAAAAAAAAAGAAAATTATCTTATATATCAGATTTAATACAAAAATGTGCATGGAATATGAAAGATGAAGTTGACATTATCTTACAACAAATCTAAATTAAAATTTGAAGAATAATGTTTATGTATTATTGAACCACCATTTTAATTAATATATCAATTTTGTCAGGTACTCAGATATAAAAACGTTTGCTATCTGCTTAATATCAAAATGAAAATAACAGCTGCTACATTTCTGCATAACAGTAAAAATAAAACTTTCTGAAAAATTAAGCTAATTGCTTTCCTTGTTAAAAAACCCTTTTAAATGCATCAATAACAAAAACTTTGGCGAGTAATGGCATGAAAAACAATTGATTTATATAAAAGAAGGGAGATAACTAAATATGCAAGTTAAAATTGAAGCATTGTGCTTTTCACAAGGAATGGGTTTTTGTAAAAACTAAAATGAAGAATGTATATACAAAAAATAATTTTACTCAAGCTTATACAATTTATAAACAGATTAAATTTTGTACTGAATCTGCCTATTGAAAACATGAAAATAATACTTTAATAATAATCGAATGTTTAATTCATTAAATCACACTAATCATGTTTGTATCCACTATATGGGATTTTAAAGAAAATGTGGCATCTACAATTTTCATTTGTTGATAAAAATGATTTTACTAAATGAATGAAACCAACAAATATACATATAATTTTTTGATTGATTGTTTTTTTTTTATGGTTTATCAACCTTTTGCAGGTTATTTAATACCACAAAATATTTTTAGATTGTAAGAATTTCTTTTGAGATAATGAAGTCCAACTAATTAACCCATAGATGGGAGGAGGATTCACGCCTTTCCAAAGAGTATTTGTGTGTTAGTGAATACAATGAACCCAACTGGAAATCAGGACTTGGCTCACCAATATCTATTACAGCACCTGGTATTCCCAAGCAATCGCCCATCTAAGCATCTAATATTGAGCACTTCTACCCATAAATATAGTATACCCTAAAACTCTCTCTCTCTCTCTATATATATATATATATATATATATATATATATATGTGTGTGTGTGCACCGGCTTGTTTGTTTTCACAACCAGTACTAAAGGACAATTACAAATGCTAAAAAAAAATCTTTCAGATGTTAAGAAAAATGTATTTATTCAAATATATTAATGCACAGGTGTTTAATTTATTTGAAAAATTAAAAAAAAAAAAAATCTTGCTTAGATAATTTGTTTTTAGAAGAAACTAACATTTTTTTCTTGATGTATTTGTAAAAGAGATTGTAAAAGTAAATGAAATTCAAGTTAATATTTGTCTTTTACTGTCCATATCTTGTATGACATTTAATTATGGGTAAAAAGAAACCAGTTTCTCTCACACCAATAAATAACAATAGCATTATCTTTTAATTACTATTTAGAAACAATAAAATGAATACAAGAAGCATTGTAACCAAATGAATTTTTTTACACTAAATTTTAGTGAATAGTGTAGAAATACAAAAGTTTCAAAGACGAAAAAATACTTTTGTCATCTGAGGTGTGGGATCTATGAAAAGGTGAGAAAAGGAGTGGTTTGGAGAAGAGAAAAAAATGAGGATTCTATTTAAGTTTGTTTTATTGTCAACCTCTTTTAATCTGTTAAAAACATCTAGAATAGTTATTAAATATACAATTACAGAAATAAAAAATTGTTTTATGAATCAGATTTAAATTGGTGGTGGAGGATTTTAAGACCTGGCAACTATAAAATGTCAGTAGATTTGTAGTAATGAATATTACACCCTCCTCACATCCCAGTATAGATGTCTCTTTATAATAACTTTGATATACTATGAAACAATCAAAATGACATTTACAATACTTGTATCTAAATAACAGCCATGTGAATTTATGGACAAGGTGAGAATGCTTAATATCTTAAAGACCAGCACATGTGTCAACAGAAACAAAGCCGATTTATTCAAATGGGTGAGCATCATGAACATACCAGACAAAACATCAAATCCATCCCATAGTATCATGGACATCTTTTTGGTAAATATGGTTAAACGTGCCTGCAATAAGATGGAGTGTCAAACTGATGGTTTTTCTCATGACACCATTTTTTTTTTTTTTAAAACTACCTTCATTCTTCAGCAATGTTTATGATTTTAAAAGCGATGATTAGAATTAGAATAAAACTTAAACATCTGAAAGTGAATTTATACATTTTTGTTCTTGAGAATTGACAAAGATAATAAACATTATTAGATTGTTTATTTACACTATTATATTTATTGGAATGGTTGGCAAAACAGTGGCTAATTGCCAACTGATTCAAACTTTATAAAATAAGGATTACCTTATAGTTGGTTCACATATTTTAATTTAGTAAATTTTTAGAAATTTAAGAAAAAAAAAATGTTTTTCACATTTCTTTATAAATTGGGAAATGATAATTACATTGCATTAATTCTAATTGTATTAATTTTTAAGAATGTTGTAAATATAAAATTATTCTTTTAAATAAACAATCTAACAGTATTAAATATTTTTGTTGTAACTTCTCCAGATAAAAAAAATAAAAATAAAAGTTTACTTTCATGTATATAGATTTTATTCCAATTCTAATCACTGCTTTTTTAAAACAAATATTGCCAAAGAGTGAAGGTAGTTAAAAAAGCAGTGTCATGGACAAAACCGTCTGTTTAACAAGTTATTACAGATATGTCTATCCATATTTGCCATCTTTTTTATCTTTTTTTCCCAGCACAAATGGAAATTGTGTATGTGTGAAAATCAGCCTTTGACCTCTCCAAGTTGTTTGACGAGATCTTGTGAATTGGTAACAACCATTTCTATGACCAACTCGGGGCCACAAGTTCCCACATGAACAACTGGTAATTTGTCCGTCTTTGCCAATAAAGATCGAAGGTCTGCCTTACTAATATCAGACATACCTTCTTCTTCTGGTTCCTTTTCTGATTCCTGGGTAGATGTTTTGCGGAGATTATGACTGGCTGTATTCCCTGTCGGTGCAGTCTCTAAGTCCTTCATAACTTGCATGTCATTAGGAATATCTTTGATGCGATTTGTTTGTTTGTTTTGAGACAATTGTATGCATTTATTAGTGGCTTTCCCATCCTTGTCTGTATTGTATGTTTGAGTAGTAGTTTTGGAATCAGAATTAATCCCCAAGATCAATTCTGGAGAGTCAAATGTACGATGATCAAAGTCATTATCAGCCCAACAATCATCAATGATTTGTCTGACAATATTTGAGAGGTCATCAATTGCAGGTAGCTGTAAATCCTCATCAATATTCATTTTGTCTGATAGGGAAGCTTCTTTGTCGGTTTGTATGGGTGCTGCTGCTGCTGATGTTGTTGTTGACGATGATGATGTGGTAGTGGAGGAAGAAGAAGAGGTGGAATGATGTGGTATTGACATGTTGTTGGACATGAAAGTGGAAGAGGATGAAGAAGTTGGTTGAGGACGAGGTTGTTGGAGTGATACATTGGCAGTGCCAGTGCCACTTCCATCTAGGAAAGTTGTTGGGAACGTGTTAGACATAACAGTTGTAGGAACAATTGCTTTGTCTGTTACAGCTGGTGGGGATGATAGCACCCCCAGGTTTTGTTCATTTTCATTTTGTTGTTGTGTTGGCTGAGGTTTTGTTTGTTGTGGCTGCTGCTGCTGCTGCTGTTGCTGTTGCTGCTGTTGTGCTTCTGGATAAGTTTCTGATGTTGTGTTCCATTGAGATGGCTTGTGCCACATGGAAAAACTTGAAGGTGTTTCAGCATAATTTCCTAAAGGATTCATAGCTGGTGGAGGCATAGCTGTGGTCGGAACTTTGGGAGGATTTGTGTTCATTGAGTATGTATTCTGTCCTTGATTGTACATCTGTACAGTAACATTGGGTGCTTGTGTAATATTGGAGTGGATTCGATATGTATTAGCAGAATGTTGTGCAAACTGTGCTTGTTGTTGTTGTTGTTGACGGTTTACAGCTGCCTTATTTGCATTGAGGGCAGCAAAAGGGTTGGCCTGAAGCAACTGGTTTAAGGTGGGCATCATTTGTTGCTGACTCATAAACTGGCTTTCTTTTTCTGGCTGAGTCAACAGTGGTCGTTTGCTGCCATACTGTAGTCCTTGTTGGCTGACTGGTGGGTAAGCTCGTTGGGTATTGTTTGTTGAGTATGGTGGTGGTGGAGGCGGAGGAGGAGGTTGCTTGGCCTTCTGTTGTGCCAATGTGTGCACGCTGAGATTGGCAGCATTGGGTTGATTATTACTGTAATTTTGATTGGGTTGAGCAAAGTTTGTGTTCTGATTGGGAACTTGGTTTGCTTTCCCCAATAAAAGAGCAGAAAGAGACGGATTACGAAGTTCTTGAATAAATTGTTTGTTGCTTTGTTGCTGACGCAGTTGGTTAACTATCTGAAGGGTTGCCGCAGAGTTAGCGGGTTGCTGAGTGACATAATGAACATTAGGATTGGTTTGGGAAACTGGAGTCTGGTAACGAACACCTGAAATATTTGCGGCTGGATTTTGGTATCTGATTGTAATATTATTGGTTGGGGGCTGTTGCTGTGGTTGCTGAGGTGTAGCATTTTGAAATTGAATGACATTTGAGTCATTAGGTGAGGCACGTTGATAGTGGACTGCCTGGCCACTAGGTGAGGATGAAGATGACTGGTAGATTCGAATATTAGGATTGTTAGATTGATTTTGGTAATGCAAGTTATTTACGGCTTGTGCATTCTGATACATCCGAGCTACATTGTTTGCTTGGGCATTACTATAATTGTAGTAGATAGCCTCATTACTGGCAGTTGGTGGTGGGGGCTGTTGCTGTGGTGGTCGTGGTTGCTGTTGGGTCATAGCAGCAACTGAGGTCCTTGGCTGCAACTGAGGCACAGCACCACCATAACTACTTGGTGCAGTGTTCCCACTGCAACTACTGCTGTATGGCATAGGTTCACGTTTAATAGTGGCAGTCATGGGGTTCATATTCATGGCCATGCTAGCATGAGATATGGAAGGGTTATAATTTTGTTGGTAGTTAGTTGCCATTGCCTGCTGTTGTTGCTGCTGCTGTTGCTGCTGCACCAATTGGCTACAATCTCCTGGCCAGTTACTCATAGTTAAAAAGATGCTTCAAGATGGTTAAAAAGATTACTAGTCAATGTGCCCAGAGGATGATATTAAGACACTCCAAGAACAGATGTCAGTCATGGCAACTTCCTGTTAATTAAAAATAAAAAGGAAAATATATTTGGAAAAAAAAAAAAGAAAAAGAAAAAAAAGGCATTTACACAAAGTTGTTTTATTTAATGACAAAATTTTCAATTGACCATTTTAGCAAGTACTTAAATCCCAAAATGCTTAATTTTTATTATCTAAAAAGTGATCATTTTTATTGTAAAAAAAAAAAAATAAGCAAAAGTGTACATCGAATAGATATTGGACATTTATATATATCTATTTTCATTGGATTAGGTGTACTTTTTTTTTTTTTTTTTAACGACAATAAAGTCATTAAGACACAAGGGGTTACTGAATGTGAAAGAATCTGAGAAAAAAATTATTAAGGAGAGAGGACAATAAAAGAACAGGAATTAAGAATTCAGAAGATAACAATTGACATGGCATTTAAATTTTTGTTGAGTAGAAAGCAAGAAGCTGGAAGATATTTCCTCAAGCAAAAAGTGTGAGATAAGTAAGTTAACATAGAATTATGGGTACATCTAGCAATTTCAACTGTAAAATGACAAGACTTAGCTACCAATCTATGTGCCATGCGGGATGCATGCGTAGGCGATCATGCATCTTTCGATGCATGACTGACAAGGCAGATTTTTCCTGCAGTAGGTTGTCATTTCTTTCTGTGTTAGACCAGTTGCTATCCAAGACTATAGAACCCGGTCTGTCCTGCTATTTGCCCATAGCTGGGGGAGAAAAGGAGGACTAATACCTTTCCCAAGGGTATTAGCATGTAAGTGAATGTAATGAATTCAACTGGAATATGTACTATGCTAAAATTCATAAACTTGAGGTACAAAACATGAAAGATCATCAGAACTATTGCCATGAAAGTGTTTATAGAAAAGGCACAGAGAAGCTACATCGCAGCAATGGGAAAGTAACTCAGGTCAGAACTGATAACAAATAGCAAATTCTTTGGATTTTGTCAAGAATCTCTAGATACATATCAGAAGCATCTGGCCAGATGTGGCAGCAATATTTAGTGCATGGATAAATGGTAGACTTATAAAGGTGTAAGAGACTTTGGCAAGAAATACTGTCTAGCATGACACAGTGAACCAACTTTACTAGCAGAACTAGCAATTGATTTCAATATAATCATTACACTTCATGTCAGTGGAAAACTTTAGCCCAAGAAGGCATAATGAGTCACTCTTCTGAAGGTCAGCATCAACGATGGTGATGAAGAAAAAAAAAAAAAAGGTTTTCTAAGATGATTACTGTACAGTCTAATAGTGGTATATAAAAACTTATTTTTATAAGATTACCTATTTATTTAGATTTTGTTTATACAATTAAAAAAAAAAGAAAAAAAGAAAAAAGACAACTATTAAATAACTTAACAGGAGCATGAATTAACCATGTAACAGTTCTTACATTTTTTTTCCCATTATCTATAGAAATCTATCCTTAAGTAAAATGTGAACAATGGTAATAACCTTTTAATTTCTATTTTTCTTAAATGTTAAACTTTATAAAAACTACATGTATCTAGTTGGGTGTTGTCAATGCTTAAGATAAAATGTAATTGATTCAATTTTTAAAATTCATAGTATATGAAATGCTTTTGAACTAGAGCAAGTAGATTCATGAGAGTGATCAACTTAGAATGCTCAGATACATTTTATAGGTAAAACAGACTTTACTGCCAATATATTGTTGACTGTTAAATGAAAAGCAGACCATTTACTGACAAATCATTTTCAGAAATTAATTCACAAGATGTTCTGTCAGTCATGAAAGACTTGACAATTTTAGAGTAACTTTAATTAAAAATGCCAAGTTAAAATTTTGATACATGTATATTGATTACAAATTTTCAGAATTCAATTTTTCTATTTTCCATGAAAAAGAAAAAAAAAGAAAGAAAAAAGTAAATTTGGGAACTCTCAGACACCACTTGTATTAGCACTTTTTTTCCCTACATAATATATAATAGATTTAGTAAAATGATTCAGTGTTGATACATTATATAATTTGCGCAAATCCCGTGACCCATCTGGGTTGTAGAGGCACCACATGTACTGCGTCCTCAGTAGAAGTGATGTTTCTTGGGCAAGATAGCCTGATGGAGCCCAACCTCATCCAGGCTGATTTTGAATTCAGAGTTACATTCTGCTAGACTGATTGTAACCCAAGGCTATAGAACCCAGTTTGTCCTGCTATTTAACCATAGCCTGAGGAGGTTGCGGGTTGAGAAGAAGAGAATAAGATGGATAAATTATCTTTGCAAAAAATTATATCCAAAACAATTTAGTCTATATGCACAACAAAATTTAGTGCATAGTGTAATTTAAAATGTAATCTTTTAAAGACTCTTATATTTATTTTTATTATGACTTTCTTCTGATTAAAACAAAATCAAATATTTTTGTTTCATGAAAATAATTTTGAAAAATTATTTAGAAAATAAAAATTAAAAAAAAAATAATGAAAGTATTTCCTTTAACTATATAAATATATTAAGTGCCAACTACAAATATTTTTTAAAGATTCACATTTATCTTATGACTTTTTGAGAATGAAAAAAATCAAATGTTTTTTTCGTTTCATGAAAATAATTAACCAAAATAAAATTAAAAAGAAACAAAGAATTTCTTTTAACTCCATTTGTTAAGTGCCATTTACAAATTTTCTATGCACTGTTGATTATCATACATGAGGCAATGTTTACTGCTTTTTAAAGACACTATCTGTACAAAAAGTAATATCTGCAAAATATATTTAAATTATTTTTTTTAAAAAATTAATAAAAACAATTTTATTGAATAGCTTAAGTTACTTAGCACAATATCAACATTTTAGAGGTCATGGAGCATACATAGGAAAAAAACTCTAAATTTGGCTGGGTCATATCTTCTAAAGTAGACTTAAAACCCTCTCAAAATTTTTTTGGTGAACGTGAGGAGGCATTGAGATGTTAAGCAAAAAATATGAAAATTGAAGAGGACGTATTTTTGATAGACTGACTGTAAGCTACATAGGTGAAAAGTTGTTGATTTTGGCGTCATGTATTTGGGTGAGTAAAATAAAATTTTCTATCAAGTGTAGGCTTAAAATAGTTAAATATTTGGATTCTACACTTCTTATTTGCCCTGCATACCAAATTTCAGAAATATCGAAGATATAGAAGTATTTTTCATTAATTTTTAAAAAACACTGAAATTTGGTGACGTTGTGCGGCCTTAATTTAGAGGCAAAATAGGAAAATTATACACTCCACCCCTAAAATTGGAATGGTAAAGTCTAGCACAAAATAATTTGGCACACTTTCCTAACTCATGAAGGGAAACATTTGTGCCAAATTTCAAGTAATTCTGAGTCAGTGGGTGTAATGCCCTGGTATTGACATGGAATGACCCACTGTCTCCAACTAATCCCAAAATATCACACTGCTACTGATTTGATATTATTATTAACCACAAGTTTTTTTTTTTTTAAGCATTTCACCCCCAAGCAAGGCTGGAAGCCACTAGCACGCAAGGGGTTACATAGGATTTGGAGCGAGAGCAGATAGGAGTGATAGAAGAAAGGATGAAGAGAAGGATAGTGGATAGCTCAAAGCAACTGGAGATGTCTATTGACATTACATTTGAATAGTTGGAGATTATAGCTATCAGGGAAACAGGAAAAGGAAAGAGTCACACAGGCGAGAGGTGCGAGATATGAAGCTATTGGAGTAGAAGAGACGGCTACATTTAACAGTTTCAACAGTGAAAGGGTGAGAGCGGGATGCCAGCCTCATATGATGCTTGAATTCATGAAGCCTGGGAACCAGCGAAAGCAGCTCATTGGAGCAATTACCATGAAAGTATTTGTAAAAAAGACAGAGAGAGGCGACGACATGTCTGTGAGAGAGCGACTGCAGACAAGATGCCAGATCAGGGCCAATTGCATTGTATATCCATCTCTGGATCTTATCAAGAACCCCGAAGCAAACAGAAGGGGCTCCAGACCATATATGGCAGTGCACAAACTTTTGTTTTCAGCAAGAGTGATGTTATAGCTAAGATTGATGATTGAGAGAATAAATCTAGACCTACATTACTTTGAAAAAAAATCTTCTACAAATTAACCAATATATTACAAGATAATGATATAGGTATAAATAGCATTATACATGGAATCTGGGTAATTGCAATGTGCAGTTTAATAGAGAAATTTTAAATTTTCCTAATAATTATAAAATGCTTTATTTTACAAAAGGTTAAGATGAAGACGACAATTTCAAAATTAAGTCGATTATTTTAAGTAAGGATTTGTTTTTTAGTTTAAATATAGCAGACAGTACATAAATATCTTGTATCTGTATGCACACTAGTGAAATATTTCATGTTTTCCATATAAAATTCTTTTTCCAATTGCTCAATAATTGTGTATTATAAACTATAAGAGTTTTTTTATTATTTTGAATATAAAATAGTTTGTTCCCAAAAATTTTTCAGAGTGAAAATTTTATTTGTTTAGATAATTATTACACAAAAGTATATAAGTTTTTACAGTCAAAAAATGTTTTAGAGTTTTTCTTTCATTCTTTATCAACATTTCATGTGACAATCTAAAGGGTGCGATGGATAAATTGTCTAAATCATGCAAAATAACACTAACATCACATTTTAACAGATATATTTACCAAAATGACACAAAAATATCTAGAAATACTAAAGCGTAAATTTATTCAATAAAATCGGCACTGGGTTCAATCATGG